ATGCTTTTTGGTAATCTGTGTGTGTTTTGCCTCAAGAAGGAAAATGTTGTGAGTATGCATGTTTGTTGTTTGGGTATGATGATTACAGATATTGGTTTCAGTTATATGTTTGATTGGATTTGGGTTATGTGTGCAAGGTGTGTGTGACTGTAGGTGTGGTTTACCTTTTCTGGGTTTTTTTGTGTCTCTTGTCTTTCGCATGTGGAGAAGTAGTGTATAAGTCAGTGCCTTGCCACCTGTATTTCTCTCAACACACCAGTTTGCCTTCTGTGAAATGAGTATTTTTTGGTGTTCTGTGAAGGCAAATCAAGTTGCCTGGCATTTAAGCTTGGATCTCATCTCTGCCTTATGCTCAATTTCTTGAACAATTGTCTTGGGTAGGTTATGCAGTTTGCCTTCTGTGAAATAAGACCTGGGAAATTCACCCTGTCCCCCATGGCTGCTATGTTGTGATCGTGTCCACAACACTTCCCAAAACTTTGGATATATTTATCAGCCCAAAAGCTCATGATCTTGTGTTGCATCCTCAAGACAAGACTGACTATAATGCACTATTTATATTGTTGTTGTTTGTATTTTAGGTATTTTATGCAACTTTTCTGTAGAAACCACTAAAGAGGTATACAACAAAACAAAACAAAACAAGCAAGAACATGCATGTTAAAACCAACTATAAATGATATACAATTCAAATATTTAATCCACTGCATACTCCTGTTAGAATATCTTTAGGGCTATGCTGAAAGCTTAATGATCAATTGAGCCTTGGGAGGTAAAGTAAGGAATATAGCTGTGTTAGGGTTATATTAAGTATGCAATACTTTAGTACTTCACTCTTGTTTTGCATAAGAATGAGAGTAGCTCAGAGAGTCTCCTTGTTCTTCTCTGTTATCTGTCACTTTCCATCAGGAACAAAAATCTGACTTCAATGGGCTCTAGAGGAACGTAAGCCATTATCAATTTGTAATCTCAATGGGAATGTCAGTGGCAATTTTATAATTTAGAAATATTATCACCCTCTTTCAAGTTTGGCACCTTGAATGCCCAGGAAATATTCTTCTCAGATAATTGAAAATTTGACACCATTAATGCAGTTCAACCAGATGGAGAAAATCCCATTTCTTCTTAAGAAATCTGAACAGGTGAACAGCTGCTACCTGAGACTTCAGACTCTTTTGCATCTCAAAGGGGGAGATATTGACTACTCTAGAAGTCTGTATTGCCCATATAGCTACTGAATGAGTGCAGCAGCTGGGTATATTAAGAATAAATCTTACGGAACTTCAGTTTTGGGGCCAAAGTTGGTGAAGTGCTCTAGGCCACATGAAGATTCAAATTATCACATGGCTAGCACTTTTGCAAGTAGGGGTGTGTGAATGTGTTTGCTAGTGTGTGAGACATGAGAAATCATTGACTTTTTCCTTTTGAGTCATAGCCATAAGCATATGTGAAAAACAGACAATTCCAATATTGAATACTTAACAGATCATTACAATTAACTACACATATGCAGGCAAGGAGAAAAAGACACAGTCTTTCAGTGACTGAATTTCTGGACTGGATCAAACAGAGGTCTAGCATCTAACAGTCCAGTATTAAGTGTCCAATGGATGCCTCTAGAAAGTGGTGGTAATTAAGCAACTTTTTAAATGTTACTGGACTGAAATTCTCAGAATTACTCACTATTGGCTATGCTAGCTAGGATTGCTGGAACTTGTAGTCTAATAACTTTTGGAGCGGCAAAGAATTTCCATCCCTGCTCTAAAAGTTCACAAAAAGGCCATGAAAGTGACAATAAACCTCTGTTTGTCCCTCTGTTCATATCTGCATCACCAAAAAAGAGGACAAAACAGAATGCAGATTTGCATAACATTTGCAAATTTATATAAATATAGATGTAAATTTAAAAACAATTATTAGCATTCAGGGCTCATACTATGAAGTATGACTTTCCAGTTGTTTTTGTTTTTTTGATAATGCCAGGAGTTCCCAGGAAATACTTTGTGGTGAAGAAGCATCATGTGGATTTCCAAAATAAAACCATTTTGTATAGAAAAAAAAACTGGGAGTTTCAAAGTTTTTCTTTATCTAGCTATTAAAAAAATAGAGACCACCTCACCATATACTACACACTCACTATGTCTAGGGGAGTCATTCAGACATTGTTTTTTTGTGTTTTTTTGGGGGGGGCAATAATGTGAATATTCCCACTCATGCATTCTGGATTGGTTATTCACACTATGGGACTACATCAATGTGCATCTTTGCCAGTTCGGTTGCTCACACAGGCCAGCACTCAAATATAGATGGAGTCTACAATGTGAATGCATTCAGAACATGTTCAATTCATGTAGAGTTTTATCCTGGGTCTATTTCAATCTGTTTGCATCAGCTGTTCACACTGCTGATGATGCAAATATTTTTTTTAAAACTCAGGGGGAAACCCCCAATATCGATTATCCTGATTTAACTGGGTTTTTGGAGATCCCCCACCCCCCAAAAAACTTAATCAAGTACATTCAGGATGCATGTGAACAATGGGGATTCAATCAAGAAAATGGGTTATTTTCACCATCTGACTAACCCTTGAGTGACCTGTGTGATTGTTTGGTCTCCTGTCCAGGGGCCAAGTGCCAAGGAGTGAATTCAAGGTCCCTGCTCAAACTTCTTATAGTTCTACTTTTTAAAGGAGTTCATCACATTGGCTTTGCTCCCATAATAAACATGGGATGTAACTTTAAGAAAGCAGATCTTATTGCATTTTCCCATCACTGGGGAGTACGCAGCCCAGCTTATCTGGGCTCCTCCCACATCTTTTCAAAAACAGGATTTTCCCATTCTTGAAAAAGTGCGGCAGAACTCTGGGTTGCAAACGGGCTGCATATTCCCCAACAATGGGGAAATGCAATAATATCTGCTTTCTTGAAGTTACATCCCGTGTCTATCACGGGAGCAAAGCCAATGTGATAAACTCCAAAATTAGATTTGGACAGGATAGCCTTTCAAAGAGATGATGTTTTTGAATAGAAGAGGGTCACCCTCTAACAGCGCTTCAAAAAAGGGACTCTCCTCGGTAGAGGACACAATGACTGAGATTCTTCATCAAGGACATGGAACATAACACTCTATGGGGGTAAGCAGATGGGTGGCCGTGGGCCGCCCCAGGAAACTGCACCACGGGGCCGAGGTATCCCCACACCTCGGCCCCACGGTGCAGCTTCGCCGCCCCTGGAAGGAGCGCTAAATTGGCGCTCCTTTCACAAGTCGCTGAAGGTGCACAGCAAAAGGCTGGTGATGCACCTTCGGCAACTCTTCCGTTGCAGCGTGTATGGACATTGCAGCAGGAGGTCCTCCTTGGAGCGCCAGCCGTGCAAAGGGCCGGCTGCTCTGAGGATGACCTGGGGAAGGGGTTGGGGCGCTCACCGTGCAGCTACCCCTCCCCTTCCCTGCCCCCAAAATGCTCTTTAAGCTATCTGCTTCCCCCCTATGTCCACCTTCCCCACACTTATGTCCCTTTTTTTGGATGAGACACAAGGAACGATTGTTGCTCTCCATCCAAGCTTCACACACATGGCAGCTGTCAAGCCCCAAGAGGAGCTGTTGTTGTTCACAGGTGGAAGGGGGAAGGAACAGGGAGGTGAGATATAACCAGCTCCTCTTAGCTTACAGAAGGAAGGAAATGGGAATGAGCCCATAGAGGGAATGAATCCTCCTTTTATTTTCCATCTCCTTGGAGCCATGCTGTCTGAACTGCCTCCTCTCTTCCAGGAACAACAGCAGCCCATCCCAGGATTTGATAGCTGTGGGGAGGAGAGATTTTAGATGTTGCACAAAAGGCAAAAAAAAATACTTTGTGTTCCGCCCCAAAAGAGACATGTGCATGCATAAGTCACACATTGTTGTTTTACCCAGAGTGCCCTTCAGATTCAAAATATTAATAATTCCATATGCCACCCTTGGATCTCTTGCTATGAAAATTCCCAAATGACCTCCAGATGAACTCTGGTAGTATAATCAAGAGGCCAAAAGCCCTCTGCACACATGGCCTGGGCAGCCCACCCTTAATCCTTTAGGAAGACATTTCCCCCAGACAGTCAGGAGAGTTGCAAATGGGACTTTACATGATGAGATCACCCAAACCATCAAGGGATGTATTGTGCCAACCGGCAGCAAGCACCCTCAATCATCTAAGGTGGAAGGTTTGCATTGTCTCACCCAGTCTTGCACCCTCCCACCCATAGGAAGAGGCATTGTGTCACCTATTCACACACTTCCTCAGGGTATGGACTCTTCGGATTAAGACCACCAGATACAATGGCACCCCATTCAGTAGAGTGCCATCATCGCAATTATCGCCTTCTGCCTCCAGGGCCCATTTTGCCCTATATAAACCCTAGATTTTGGACATTCAGTGTGCTAGATTCATGGTCCAAACGACTCCACATCGCTCTGAACTTTGAAACTAGTTACCGGCAAGTCAAGCTCAAACCCAGGCTGCGGAGCTTTGCCTTGTCTTCCTATCATTCCACATCACTCCATTCGCTTCCCGGGAGCGAGGCTATCGTCTCGGTAAGTATCACCATTAGTAACGCCTGCATTTCTGTTCCAAACTCCAACCTTGATCTTCCTGAGCCTTGTGTGTGTGTGTGAGTGCATGACCTGTGAGTGAGTTTTCCCTATTTCTAATAAATTAGACATCTAGTATTAAACCAATATCTGTCTCAGCTCCATTTCTTGGGATTCTCTGGTCTCTTGGTATAAACACCGGGAGAACGGTTTCATTGAGCTTTTGTAGCAAGCTCCCTCTTGCAATATTTGAGCTAATTATAAAATTCCCCTAAGGATTCGGTGCTACAGTTGTTCTTGTGTGCCCTCAGGTCATTTCTGCCTTATGGCAACCCTAAGATGAACCTCTCTTGGGAAGATTTGTTCAGAGAGGGTGTGTCTCCCACTGAGACAGAGACAGTGTGACTTGCGCAAGGTCAACCAGTGGGTTTCCATAGCCAAGAAGGGATTTGAACCATCCCCTCCAAAGTTGTAGTCCAACACTCAAACCACTATACCACACTGGCTCGTACACACAAGCATGTCACTAACAGGATTCTGACCATAGTCACCTACTCAAAAGGAGGGGTCTCAGTAGTATCTAGAAACAAATATTATTTTTATCACATTTTCTCTTTTATATTTCTTTATTGTATGTAAGACCCTCCAATTAGAATAACTCAGGTTTTGTTAGCAAAGCATCCCAGTTTTATACAGGTTTACTCAGAAGAAATTTTGTGCAAAGTACAAATGGAATCAGGTCTTGGTTTATAATGATTTTCTTAGGCCTTTTATGAAAAGCAATATAATTAAACAATTATAAGCCTTCTTTTAAGGTTATGCTAGCAATAATGCTGGGAAAAGTTGAAGACAGAAGGAAAGGAGAAAAACCGCATCATGGATGGATGGAGTCAATCAAGAAAGCCACAACCCTGAGTCTGCAAGACCAGTGTTAATGAAATAATCTTTTGTAGATCTCTCATTCATAGGGTATCCTCACCTGGTGACCTTTGGCAAGTCACACACTCTCAGCCTCAGAAGGCAATGACAACCCACCCACCCCCCAATGAAACTTGCCAAGAAAACCCATGAGAGGGTTGCCATAACTATAAAATGACTTGTAGGAACCTAACAACAATTATAAGAAGGCATCATTGGGACCTTTTAGAGCTCATATATCATTGAAACAAATATAATTGAAAACAAGTGTCATTGAAAATATTAGCTTCTTATTGTATACTTCTTATTGGAGCTGACAGAGATGCAGTTCATCTTACATTTAAGATACATGCACTTGGATGGTTAAGAACAGAGAGACAGACCACCTCAGGTTGGTAGATTGTCCTTTGTCTGCTCAAATTACCTTCCTTGTGACCTAAGTCAATATCATACTACAGCACTTTTATTCCACTTCAACTGCTATGACTGCCTCTTGTGGAATTCTGAGATTTGTAGTTTAGTGAGGCCTAAGAACAGGAAAATCTCTCTGGATGAGAATTCTAATTGCCTCTCCCTAAACTACAAATCCCAGAATTCCATGGGAGGCAGTCAAAGCAGTTAAAGTGGAAGAATAGTGCTATAACAATGTAGTATGATGGTTGCTGACATTACTTTTTCTGCTTCTCAAATTTCTCTTCTCTTGTCTTCTCTGGGAAGTGAAGACATCTTGGTGTTGTTTCAAGATCAGGATTCAAACTAGAATTTCTCTTACATTTATATCTCAGCATATTTCTCTTAAAAAAGATTTTCTTTCTTACTGAAACAAAAAAGCAGACTATAAGTGAAATTATATTCCAGAAGAATCAAGTTCATTATCCAGTCTGTTATTCAGAAAGGGATGAATCTGCAGACATTGCTAGCTCCAAAAAGCAACACTTCCTAAACACTGCTGGCATGAACAGAATAGCTGTGGCAAAAAGGGGAATGCTCTTCATATGACAGACATTTCAGTGATCCTTCTGTTTTGTACCACCATGCTCAGCATGACATCTGCACTAGGCAATTTCCTGCACTCGTGGAAGCTCCTCACAAAATGGAGACCCAGGCAACTGGTTATAAGCAACGTGTTAAACAAAAATCATGGGGGAGATTAGGGAGTCCCCACCAACTGTGTCATTTTCTCTTTAAATGTTGGGGAATTGCTTATCTCAAAGAGGCTAGATAACACTGAGGATCATTTCCACCTATTTATACCAGTAATAACTGAGGAGGACTCCATGTTTGATGAATGAAGAAGATTTTTATTTAGAAATATGCAAGAGTACAACCAAACACATGATAATAGTTCAAACAGACACACCTTTCAAAGCTAACCAAAATAGAGGTATGGAAATTGGATAATGGAATTGCAAAGAGGTCCTGAAGAGGAAACCGTGGAAAATGGAATATGGCTCAAACGGTGTCTGAGGGGAAACACAGTGAGTGGAAGATACACTGTGTGCATGTGGGGGCTAGGTTTGGGATGGATATTTTTACCTGAGATCCTAGCCTTGAGGTATGCTACTTGCTATCTTAGACCTGATGGTTTTCCCAGGGAATTAGCAATGGATTCCAGAATGACTGATGGCTTTAACTTCAGAGTAACAAAATAAAACAAAACAAAAGATTGAATTTAAGACAACCCCAGGATAGGAAAGTTGCTGGGAACATGGCAGGGAGTGGGTAGAAAGTGTTAGTTTAATTGTTTTTGCCTTTGTCTTTAGTAGGAAGAAAGCCTGAGGAAGGATGGAGTGATCAGCAAACCCATTCAGCTTTTATCTTGGTATCACCTGTGTCCTTTACATGTCTTCAGAGCTACATGTCCTTACTATAAGAAATTCTTCTGGTTATCCAAAGGTCATTGTGACTTCTTAAGAATTAATTCCAGATATGAAAATATGAAAACCCCAAATATAAAATGGGGTATGCAACACTGCATCCTTTCATCCTGTCTGTTCAACTTGCATGCAGAAAATATCATATAAAGAGCAGGCTTGGACACAGAAGAAGGAGTGAAAGTAGGAGAAAGAAATATCAACCACCATAGTATATGTAGATGACACCATACTACTACATATTATATACAGGATTTTCCTGTTCTTGAAAAGCTGCTGGAGAAGCCCAGGTTGTGTATGGGCTGCCTACTGCCCGGGCATAGGATAGTGCGATAAGACCCATCAGAGACGGACACAAACCACATCTAACCCATGCCTGTTTTCCTCTGTGTTAATCTCCGATGATGCTGGAGAAGGTAGAGGGAAGAAGAAAGAGAGAAAGACCACATTTCAAATGGATAGACTCAATCAGGGAGATCTTGGGCCTGAGCAGGGAGGTAGAGAATAGGGGAGTTTAGAGACATCTCATTCACAGGGTCACCTTGAGTCAAGACTGACTCGAAAACATCTAATAACAACAATATGTTGGGTATGCTAACAAACGGGAGTGGGGAGGTAATGTATAATTGTGTAATGAAGCCACATTTGAAAAATAGCACAGTGGTTTGCAACCTGTTGATGATATTTTCAGGTTTAAGTCCACTTTATGCCTGGGTATTTCTTTGCATAAAGTGGTCTTCCCTTCCATTCTCCACAATGACCAAAGCAACACACCCACTTACTACTGAGTTGCTACAGCCTTCCCCATGACCATTCTGTGGTTGCTGCAATGAGTAAATGAATGCCTTTTTTAAAGTAAAGGCAATAGGATTCTGCCACACTGCAGAATTAATGCAGTTTGACAACACTTTAACTGTCATGCCTCCTTCCTGTGGAATCCTGGGACTTGGAGTTTGTTGTGGCACCAGAGCTCTATGGCAGAGAAGGCTAAATATCTCACAAAACTACACATCCCAGAATTCCAACGCATTGAGCCATAGCACTTAAGGCAGTGTCTATTAATTAGTAATGGGAATATAGTATTTGCAAAAGTAACTTTCCACAGTCTTTGTAAAATACTGAATGTTGGGTTTTTCCATTATGCAGCAGTCTAAAGGGAGTTCAGAAGCCTCTCCACTACTTTAGACATTATAGAGAACATGGTGATTGTTGGGGAGGGAAGGGGATTATGAAGAACTGTACTATTTGTGAAGCCAAATATTCAGCCTCTGCCTACTGCCCCTTTCACCATGGAAACCTTATTTTTCCACAGTAATGCATCAATAGAATTGTAGGGACTTTACAGACTTGTAGGGACTTTACAGACTGCCAGAAATAATACAGCTTGAGGCCAGTTTAACTGTCCTGGCTCAGTGCTAAGGAATCATGGGGACTGTAGTATATTGTGGCACCAAAGCTCTCTGACAGAGTAGGCTCAATGTCCCAGAAAAGAATACAATTCCCATGATTCCCACTTTAACTGAACCAGGACAGTTAAAGTGGCCTCAAGCTGCATTATTTCTGGC